AACCATGGATCTCACTGTCAACGGAGAGAACTTACCTGGAAAACCACTACAGTTGAAATTTGGAGCAGACAGTAATTACATTTCTGCTTTTCAAACTCTGTACGCCGGCGCACACAAGATTTTTGATAATCAGGGTAATGGTATAACACGTGAAGAATATGCAAACGGTTATACACTGTTTGTGTTCGACCTCACTCCTGATTTATGCCTTGGTGATCATGTACAACCGATTAAGAACGGAAATGTGTCAATTGAATGTCGATTTGGAACACCGTTGGAGACAGCTATAAATATCGTGGTACTTGGTGAATTTCAAAGTCTTATCGAAATTGATGCAAACCGGAACGTGCTGTGTGATTTCAACAACTGAAGATGAACACGCTGCAGATTATGAACATTCTCAAGAATGATCCGTTTACAAAAACGGTGTTTACGGACGTTTTACCGTCAGATCGTTTACCTCGCGAAATAAGAAAGAGGCCCAGAGGGTATATATTTAACACGGATGCATCGGATATGCCCGGATTACACTGGATTGCAATGTACCTTACAGAAGATGACAAAGGGGAATTTTGTGATTCGTATGGTCAAGCTCCTGGATTTTACAATCAGAACTTTACTCAATTTTTGGACAAACATTGCGCTACATTTACATGGAACAGAAGAATTTTGCAAGCCCCTTCATTAGACGTGTGTGGACAATTAACAATTAGACAACGAAGCCGAGTTGTCTATGAGCGAATAGTCAACGAGGCGAAGCCGAGTTGACTATTCGTTCAGAGACAACGAGGCTGAGTTGTCTAATTGTTTTAGTATAAACCACACAAAGAAAACGGAATTTTTTACTTGATTTTTATGTAAAATAATAACGTTTTAACAAAATGAGCGTTTAAATGGCTTCCTTTGGCTTTGCCGACATTTCGCCTTGGCTTTGTTGACAACTACTCAGTGTTGCGAACTCCCAAGAATGACTTGAAAAATACAACTTGTGAGTTTTAAAAAAGTTAAAAAAACATGTCGTAAAACAGTATAATAGTAAGAGACCGTTATAGAAGCAAATTTTGGTTAATTAAAACTTATTTAAAAGAAGGAAACAAGGCTTAAAAAGTCCAAAATTTCGAACACAAAATAGCTTCCCGAATTTTTATTAAATTAGTAAATAAAGTTTACGTTAAAAAGCCGAATAAAAATGCACACACATGTAAAAGAATCCGATTATCCGAATGTCTTTGAAATCTTTAACATATCTGGAACATAAAGAGGCAAACTATTTCCATAATCTAGTATACATAGACAATAGTTTAGATTAAAATTTAATCGAAAAACTCGACTTAAAAAGGCTCGAAAAAGACGAAAAACAAACTTGGCCAAAATCTCACCACTTAAACGGAAAAAAACTCTTTAAAATGACAGCTAAATACATGAACTCGTACTTAAAACAAGCACACACAAAGAGGTTGAGAAAATAGAGGTAAATAGCTACAAAGTATTCTTGAATTTCAACGATTCTGCTTGGAATATTAACAAACATTCTACACATTTTAAAAATTCGCCTGTCACTTTCATGTTCAAAACTACGAGCAAAGTTGAGAAAACTTAAAAATTTTACCGCATGTGTCAGCAGTTTCCAAGAGTCTTTGTTTGTGTGTAATCCAGAACCAAAACTAGGCCATTTTGATAAGCTTTTTTCCCTTTAAATGCAGCTTTTAATACTTAAAAACGGCCATTGACTCTCGCGCCCTTCGCCGCTTGTTGCTACTAGTAAGCTATCACTAATAGCCTACTAGTAGCGTAGCCAATCAGAACGCACGAAATGTGATAGCCTACTAGTAGGTTTATACTAATATACATTAGTATAAATTTCCAGGTAACTATTGATTTTTCTGCATTCTGATTGGTCAAGATTCACTGTCTCTGAAGTGATAGTCACTGGTCAGTGACTATAGCTTTTTTTTCAAAATGGCTGCTCGTTTTGCCGTAGTAACAGAGAAGGAAATTGCTAAAATTAAAGAAGATAGCATCCGAAAAAACCCAAACAAGCTACAAAATATGGTTTAAAAATATTTCAAGGTAAAATATTAAACTTTACGTGCTTTTATTTGGAAAAAAACTGGCTTAGTCGCAACGCGACACAGAGCCGTGTCTGAGATTTAAATTTTGTAAACAAACTATTTATAGCGAAAATAAATTTATTTGAAGTGAATTTTTGTAAAGTTGTGTGGATTATTGTTTGTAAACACCTGGAAATTTATACTAAAACAATTAGTCGCCTCAGGCTCGGTGATTACAAGCCTATATTCACTTCGCCTTTGGCTCAGTGAATATAGGCTTGTAATCACCTCGCCTTCGGCGACTAATTGTTAATTATTCTTCGCTTTACATCGATGTAGACGTATTCCAATGTCGACCATTGCAAATATGTTTACGGATAGCAAAGAATGGAATGATAAGCTTGTGCGTGATTTTATAGACAAGTGGTACAAACACTAGATTTAGTTTTAAATACATTTATTGTAAAATTTTCTCTTACAAGAGGTAAATTATTTTAACTATTTATATGGACTATTAATATTGTCTCTGCGTTTTTTCCTCTTTTCTTGCTGCACTCGAGGGCTGGTGGGTAGATTGTCCGGGATACCTTTGGTTTTATATTCGCGAACAATTCCAAGACGGTTTTCGTTTCTCACAATACCTTCGGGTACATTCAAATGTCCGAGAACTTTTGAAAACAATTCCCAACCGTCGGGGTTGAAATTCTTCCTTTGACGTAGAGAATCATTTACCGAATCAACTATATTTGTGCTAGGAACCGATCTTCCTTTGAACACCATCTGGCCTTGTTCATTCCAACCAACAAGATCTTTATTTGACTTTAGTTTTTTGATGAGTTGTCGAGCTCTTGACTTCATAGTAGCTGGTACACTGTCCATGATATCTGTTTCAATCTCGTCTGAGGGTTCCACCACTTCACTGGGCTGATCTCCTTGAGGTTCTTCAGGTTTATCGGTGTGCGTCACGTTTACTCGGAGAGGTTTATTCATTCGTTTATCATAAAAGGTTAAATAGCGTTGTAGATTCTGGTCGTATAACTTTGCCTTTTCATCAATTGGTATATCTTGTCGTCGAATAATATCTTGCATGTCCGAGTCTATTTCGTTGACCTGTGTCGCCAAAGGCGCCGCGAGAGGTTTCTTTCGCTGTTCAGCCATATGTTCAGGGACAAGTACTAATCGCTTGACGTGCTCCATTATAAAAAGTTAGACAACTGTTCCAAAACTGAAGTGAGTAGAAACGGTAGGAAACCCTCCCCTTTTTGGACTAGACGGGTTCTTCTTTTTACGATAGGATTTCGTTTGTCAGCCGCAAACTTTATATGGTTAGAATGCGGTGCAAGTTTTTTAGCTGTTCTTAGTTTCAGTTTAATCGTGTCAAACCAAACGTTTAATAGACACTGTCTTATAGCTTCAAACAGATCGTCTTCAGCCGCTTTCAAAATAGCTTTTCTCAGTTCAGGTTTACACTTGGCCAATACTTTCAGAAGTTCGGAGTTCCTTTTCATACAAGCAGACATGATCAAATGAATATTTTACACACGTTCCCACTTTCTTATACTCTGGGTTGATAGACATAATGCGTATCTGTTGGAAAGATCCCGGATCGAATCCGTATCTCGTCAGGACACGTAGGAGTTAGGTCGACAAATAGATAAGAATAGGGATCTTTGGTTGCCAGTTGATAGGCTTGTTGAAAAAATTTGGTGTTACTAGGATACAGTTGTTTGGCAAGATGGATAATTTGACTTGCGTCGCGCACGTTTTTCGTTAAACATAAATAACTTGCATTGAGAGAAATTGTACGGTGTTCTTTACTATGATGAAATAAATTTTGTACAATGTACACTACACTCAGGTTACCATGATGCGATTTTTTCGTGGATAATTTTGAAATAACTCCGTCCTTCTCACCCATGAAATCATCAATGACATATAAATTCTGTGTTTCGGGATTTATACTATCCAGTATATCATCTGGCAAGCCTTGTACAAATTTTATTCCAGGCACTAAATTTTGAATTTCTCCAAACGTGTCTTGGTACTCGGTATAAAAATACACAATGTTTTCTGGAGGTTTATCTATCATGACATTAACATAACTCAAAAGTTTTTTCACAAATGTAGTTTTGCCTGACTTGGTACTGCCAGAAACCAAGAGCCCAAACGGATGTGTTAACTGTATGGAGTACATGTTGAAAATGAAATCATATATTTTTAATCGTCACTATTTATATCATGCGCCCAATAAGTCTATACAATTCAGTTAAAACTACTTCCAAGTCCAAAGGTGCGCATTTGGCACGGATAAGGAAAGGTTGTCTTTGTGTGGTGGAAAGTTCATGAACACCTGCTAAATGGTTAGATAATTTCAACAAATTTTTCTTGCCACAAATCGGACAGTCTTTACGCTTTCGAGGCATGATGTGGAATGAAGACCTTACCTGACTCCCGTCTCTTATATAAATGTCCCGCACGGGACTTTTTTGTCCCGGAAGTCCCGGAAACGCTCAAAGTGTCCCTGCGGGGCTGTTTGTCCCGTGCGGGACTTATTTTGTCCCTGAAACTCTGCATGGGGGAGGGGGAAAGAGAAATACACAGCATGTTTTGAAAAATATATATTGACTAGTACTATTTACAAACTAAATATCTAATGGAATAGTGGAGACGCCGATTGGACGTTTACTTGGTTTATGTTTGGGAATAGAAAAATTTCGACATGCCTCGATGGTTTTTTGCACATTGTGACGAATAGATTCCTCGCTATCATTTTGTAAACATACCAAAGCTAAATAGGCAATAATACAACCAAAGTTTGTAACATTGATTTCTCTGTAAATTTGGTCAAGGTTTAGATCAGGAGCATTCACTGCACGATGGTGATCGAGAATTGTATTTATATGAAACGATAAAGTTTGTTTATCAATATCAATTTCATTTCGCTTCAACTCATCAAAAATTATATCTATGTTATCCATGATCCTCCCACCACAACGATTGAACAGCAAATGAGACACACAACATTTATTTCAGTAAATATATGCAAATTTACATTAATTAAATAGTAACGTATTATTATTACAAGAGGTCTATTTTATCAAGTTCACTTGTTAAACCAAATCTACGAAATTCATCATAGGCCTCCTTAGTGTTAGATTTAGAACTATTAAATGTCTCTCCTGTTTCTTCAATCATGTACTGGTATTGTAGTGGATTACTGAAGAGCACGATGCCATTGTTGGTCACCCGAGGGCCTTGTTGCTTCCATTCGAAGAAACCACAAGAATCTTCCTTCGGACAGCAGTAAAACAGACGGTTTTGATTCGGACCATCTTTCTTGACTTTTCGTTCACAGCACACCATTCCATGTTGACATATCGGTCTTGGACCTTCGACGCTTGCCGATTTTTATAGAGACGCTCGTTAAATCAAGCAACCAATTATAGTAAATCAATCTTAATCCCTCTATTGTATCATACACGCGAAGGGACGCTAAAAAATGTGTAGTCAGGAAATTTTGTCTCATTTTCCAAAAGTGCAAGCAGCAAACAAACAAGTGGACACACAAAACGGCGAGAATCCCGCAAACAACAACAAGTCGACAACAACAAGAATTGGAAAAGCTACGGGAAAAGACAAGAAAAAAGAGGCAGAAAGGCAACGAAAAATACGACTGGACAAGAAAAACAAAACAAAAAGACTAGAGGCCTTCTGGGGATATGCAGAACAAAGAAATCCTACATTCCTCAGCGAATTTCTCGCCTTCATGAAGGCAAACAAAACCAGGAAACACCTCGAGAAACCGAGCAAAGAACCCAGGAAAGCACACAACAGTCGCCGGAACTACCAATGATCAGTAATGCTGACCTGGATTTCCTAAACGATCCAAACAGCCTGGACTTTTTGGATAATATGAATTTAGACTTTTTAAGTAATCTTTAAACAATTTCGAATAAACATTTTTATTAACACTAATCTTTATAACAGTTTTGAAAATAACACATATTAAATGTTCAAGCTATTAGCAAAATTGTTTATGAATTTGTTTGTCCACCACACCGAGGATGAGGCTGTTTCGTAGCTCTCCATGCAGTTATGGCCTTTTCAAACAAATAGCCCTCATCCTAAAACATTATATTTTTAAAAATTGTTTATTAACTAAAAGTATATTTTACAAATTATTAAAATGTTCCCGAAGTTTATCTTTGAGATAGTTCTGATTTGCCTTTTGTTCATCTTGTTCCTTGCTCCAGAACTTTTCCCCCTTTCCTCTAACATAATATATAAAGGTAGGGGGGCTACCGAGAGGCACTCTGCAACAGGTTCCAATGGATCTGCTTTAGGATCAGACAAATCGCACAGGACTTCAATTAATGCTTGATTGTCTCGGTATTCTTTAAATAATGATCCAATTAGCATAAGATTAGGGTTCTCTTCCAAGCTCAACAAGTGTTCCGTAAAATATTTCTCAAACGGAACATTCAAAATCTCAATAACACCGGCAAATTCACGCCAGGCGGCGTAACTAGTTCCAGCTTCCTCTATAGCATCAAGACCATACATCTCCCATTTTTCAAACTCATTCAACATTAAACAGTCCTGGTCACGAACCTTACACCCGCAACAAAACAGGTCAAATTTCTTTTCAATGCTGCGTGCAATGATCTTGGCATATATTATTTCTATAAGACGAAGCTTTTTGTTTGAACCGTTCATTATCAAAACCAAAGTGTAAATGAATTTGTACTACTCATCGACCCAAATATACCCCATGTTTTCCAAACGCTCCTGCATACTCATTACTTCCGGCATACTCATTACTTCCTGCATACTAATTACTTCCGCCACTATACGGCACTTCCGCCGCCCCTGCATACTAATTACTTCCGGCGCTCCTGCATACTAATTACTTCCGGCGCTCTATTCGCTCCTGCATACTAATTACCTCCGATCCTATACAGACGGTCTAGAACTACTAAAGCCCCTAATAATGTTTCCCGTAAATGTCGCCGACTGGGGAGGGGGGGGGAAGGAAAAATAAATGCAATCATATTGAAATCAAAGGCCGTTGAGGCCGACTCACAGATGAAATCAAATGAAAGTGACAGAAAGAATTAAAGCAGTTTGCAGGTTTTTTTTGCAAACGAGCACCGTGCAAATTTTGCCATTTGTCGTGCTCCAGCTGTGTCGCACTCGATTCCTGCCAGAGGACATATAATTACATTTTTCACAACTGCTCCTGGTTAGATGTAACTGAAAAGGTCTATATAATTTATACTCTATAAGTAAAAATCAAAGTGTAAAATTTGTTAACTGCAACTTTATAAATCTAAAATTTAAAATTGCTTAAAATTTATTCGGTTCTGCCGTTGCAAATAAATAGTTTTTGCGTTAATTTTTGAATCACTGAATTAGGGTATTACTTATTCATGGACCAAACTGGAGCCACAGAATAGAGATTAGAAAGTAAACTACTAAACAGCCTGATTTGCGAGGTTGAATTGCATGCTGCATAATTATCATGTTCGTAATGATCTACAGGGTGTATCATAAAAAACGGAGTCCTCGCTTCAAATATAAATTTCGAAACGAATATTAGAGTAAAACGTTCAGGTTTACATTTGTTTTAAAGCTTTCAGCTTTCCAACGATGGGTTGTTTCGTAAATTTAATCCAGTAGTTCGTGAATAATAGTATTTTAAGTGATTGCGATTGGAGAGTAAAAAATTTGAGATGCAATAACAAATCGGTACTTGATGAAAATAACTTATTTTGTCAACAAAACGTGCAAATTGAGGCATTTTGGCAATAGCTTGTAGAAACTAAGTAATAAAGGCTTCCAATACACTATTTTGAATTCACTTGCTGACTTCAAATGCGTTTATATTCCCAGCTGAAGCGTGTTTTAGCTTGCCGTCAACTTGCTAATTTATGTTTACATTGCGCCCGATTCGATGGCGTTAGTTCGGACGATGCATGGACATAAGATTGTTTTGATGATTTCTGGAAATAATTTAGGATTTTGAAATAAATAAGACAACCTAATCTCTTTTAGAATGTTTTCAACAAGTTTTTACTAGTTTTTCTGATGTGGCAACAAGAACATTAAAGTTTGAACAAGAAAATTCAAACATTGTAACCGACTATGGAATATCATAGTAAATTTGTATAATTATAAGCGGCATCTAAAAATTATAGGTTTTACTAAATTTTCTCCTGTGCAGTTATTACTTGCACTAAAGACACGGATGACCATTTGTTCGAAAGATAAATGAGCAGGCCTTAAAATAAGCCTAAAACCGTTTTATTAAATATAGCAGGCCGATAGTTATTAAGTACAAAAGATGGACTCCGTTTTTTATGATACACCCTGTATATATAATAGACCGTCATTGTAAAGTGCAGAATTGTGGGGCTTCGGTGGCGAAGTGGTTAGAGCACTTGCCTTTCACCTCTAAGGCCGTGGGTTCAAATCTCAGTGAGAACTTCTCAATGTGACTCGAACCCAGTCCTCATGTGAAAAGAGTAAAAAGTCAACGCTCTGCCGAAAGTCGTGAGTTTTCTCCGGGTACTCCGTGTTTCCTCCCACTGGGAAAGTTGACAGGGTGGGTTAGGCACATAGGTCTGGAGGCAGATCATTGATGAGGTATGGACTAATAGCGGCCGCTCAAGCGTCATCTGTAAGCTCAAAGTCTACCTCGGTCTGCTTCACGTCAGTCCGGTTCTATCTATTTATTTATAATGTAACCAGTCACTGAAAAGCCCTGATAGAGAGTGTGCTGTGAAATATCTGTAACTGTAAGAATATTTTTAATTCCACGTAATGCTATGTAATGTAACGAAAGTTCAGGTATACTGGCACCGTACGTATAGGAAAGACCTAAGGAAAGACTCAATACATACCCTAAGGAAAGACTCAATACATTTGTGACTAGACTCCCACCACCACCATTTTATATAAAATACAGTACATGTGTATAAATATTGTCGTTACAATATCAGTTAAACAATTAAAACATCTTAAAAGCTCCCGTAAACTTGTAGCCATTTAATAATTCAAAATTTTCATGTTCTATAATACTTTTTTTAATGAGGTCAAACTAACATCAAACTCCCCCCCCCCTATGATTTTACCGCCCGCCCCCGCGAAACCATAAATAATGAACACGCCCTTAAAGATGGAAAATAATGAATTATGTGCAGTAGTGATGGTAAATGATAAATCATAAATGGTTACAAAAAATTACGAAAACAGGACTGACGATTGATTATAGTATAATATAAGAAAATGTTTATAGATGCCACACAGTGAAACCGTCTACAAACACCTTCACTGTACTGATTCTAAAATCGCCTGGATCGTCTAGAAACTGTTACTAAGCCGCTCTCTAAATAATGGACAGCTACAATCCTGGCAAAAACTAATGAAACATCCAGTTTGATTAACAATTTAATTTATTCTTCCCCCCTTCCCATTTTGATTAAGATGAGCAAGAAACCTACACATAGTGCTCTCTGCCATCGATTAACTATTGCACACAATTTTTTAGAATCTATGTCCAACATTGTGCAGGGGGAAGGGGATTTTGTCTGTTTTATTGATTTTTTATAGGTGTTTCATTAGCTTTTTGCCAATAATGTAGTCACATCCATGGTCCTAATATGAAATGTCATCTTAACCCTAATCCCTATGTCTATTTGCACCAGTCCTTTCCTAAGAGAGTTCCAACACCAGTCATTCACACTTCTCGCGCCAGAAGAATCTCTGAGCTAGCATGTCCTACAGAGTTACCATGAGTTAACACGAGTTACCATGAGTTACCATGAGTTACCATGAGTTACCATGAGTTACCATGAGTCACCATGTCCTACAGAGATCGTCGCACGTCGATCATGTTTGGTTCCCTCCCTTTTTTCGACCACCCTTATCAGTTTTTACACGCGCCAACGTACAAAGCTTCAATTTCTTTGTCACGTTTACTTAAGGGGGGACCTTACCTAAAACGTATGCCATTTTACTTAACAATTATTCGCCGAAGGCGAGGTAATTATCGGTGAATAAAAACCGAGACGAAGTCGAGGTTTTTATTCACGATAATCACCGAGCCTGAGGTGAATAATTGTTTTAGCATAATTTCATAGGTGATTATATGGAAAAAATAAAAAAATACACATTTCTTCGTCATTTAATTGACAAAAAGGCTTCGGCCACCATTTTGAAAATCGCTTAGGTGATTATCGCGTAATAATCACCTCAACGGCAACCAATCAGCGTGGAGAATTTTCAATAATCACCTATGTAATTATACTAATATGAATTACTATGAATTAGTATGAATTTTACAAGCATTTCAGAACCATCCTCATAAATACGAAAAACAAGTTTCATATTATTCTGACACTGCAATCGACCATAGCAAAGTTCGTTGGCTCGAGCGGGATTTGAACTCGCATCTTCTGGTATTTAGACCGCCGCTCTACCCATTGAGCTATCGAGTCAACGGGGATTGGTAGCGAGTCTTAAATATGTAAAGTGCACAAAATATTTTCGTGACGATTTAACGCTTGTCTTAGAGGACGCGCAGTGTTTCAATTCTATTTCCAAACCATCCCCAGAGATAACTAGTTTTTCGTATCTCTGAGGACGGCGGTCTAGATACCCGAAGATGCAAGTTCAAAACCCGCTCGAGCCAACGAATTTTTCGTTGGTCGATTGCAGTGTCAGAATAATATGAAACTGGTTTTTCGTATCTCTGAGGATGGTTCTGAAATAGAATTGAAACACTGCGCGTCCTCTAAGACAAGCGTCAAGTCGTCACGAAAATACTTCGAGCACTTAAACAGTGGGTAAGACTCGCTACCAATCCCTGTCGACTCGAAAGCTCCTGCCTCCTCCGCAGGCCCTCGTTGTGTCATGGGAAGGTCACGATTTCGAGAGGGCCTGCGGAATCTTGTAAAATGAATAAATGTTGTTTTGAACCTGCTTTGTTAAAGGAGGCAGTTTTATTCGTGCAACGTTGGTGTGGACAACAAACCTTATCGTTAAAAAATGCCTCCTTCCACGTCCTAAGAGTCGCCATTTTAATTTACAAGTTTCACGCCGCTTTTTTATAACCTGTTTATATTCAAGATAATGTATAGATTTACTTGCTGACGTGACGCCGGCGCCATATTTTTTTACAAGATTCCGCAGGCCCTCGCCAGATTGTGTGTGACCTTCCCATGACGCAACGAGGGCCTGCGGAGGAGGCAGCGATGGCTCAATGGGTAGAGCGGCGGTCTAGTTCCCCGAAGATGCGAGTTCAAATCCCGCTCGAGCCAACGAATTTTTTGTTGGTCGGTTGGGGGCAGTGTCAGAACAATATGAAACTGTTTTTTACAAGTATATCTTACTATTTTAACGCAGATCTTTCATCAATGAGAATCTTTATGAGGACGTGAAAGATATTGTTATAAATGAAAATGTACAGGTAATTAAACTTTAAATTTATAATAATAAAAATATTTTTAGTACGAACCGACCTAAACGGTAAGTAACGTGTTTATTTTACCTTAATATAGTCCTACCTTGGCAAAGAATAGAAACGATTAATGATTCTAATTTGGCCTGGAAGGCGTGGGAAAATAATTTTAATGAGGTTTTAGATAGGCATACGCTTTTGAGACTTCAGCGTATACGGCATACCTCAATTCCAAATCTCGTTATTACTGCCAAAA